TTTTTTTTTTTCAGAACCGGGGATTGAACTCAGGCACTTGCGCTTGCCAGGCAGGTGCTTATTCTACTGAGCCATCTCCTAGCCCCCAATCTTTCATTCTTTTCATTGCACTATTTCTCAAATTTATCCAAAACTCCATGTGCAAAAATTTATTAAGCTTTTTTCAAATACTTGAAAATCAAAATGTTAAAAAATAAAAAACCAAAATATTTATTTCCATAAAAATTAAAAACTTATATCTTATTTCTGTTTTTACTTCTATGCACCTTCGTATCATTATTTGCCCCAAAATACTACAGAATTAACAAAAAAATAAAAATCATCAAAAATATTAAAATCGGAGATTTCTTGGAAAAACTACGTTATTCTAACGTCTTAGGCTAGTACTCTGGGTAAGTCAGGGCTGCCCTCTTAGGTGCAGCTGAAAGGAAAAGGGAGAGAGGAAAGCAGACTTTCCTGTTCGCAGCACTCTTGTCACAGAGTTAAGCACCATCACAGCACAGAAGGCTAATATCATCATGCCTCTTTACGGAAAAGGCAGCTCCATTATCTTCCCTACAGCAGCACAGAGACTCAGTGTTGGCTTTGGATTCCCGATAGTATACAGGAAGATGGAGAAATCACGTGGGTGGTGCGGGTCTAGGGTTTCAGAGTTGGAAACCAAGTGCCCAAAGGCAGCTTCTGATGTATCAGAAAGGCAGCAGTCCCAGCAACCAGCACAGCTGGGGAGTACAGAACGGGTGGACACTTAGGAACACGTGACTACTACTACGCACTTGGTGAAGAAAAATAAAAGTGAACTTTGTAATGTGTTGAACTTCCTTTGGATAGAATCAGTTTTCTAGAATAAATGGACTGCAGCATCCCCTCCAAGTATAAGGCCACAATATGAGTGTAAAAATACAAAAGCAACTTTCAGCAGTTTGATCTGGCTTGTGGAATGGTGAATTACACAGGTGGAATTTGGCATTTGATGGCCAGTTCTGTGGCAAAAAACATGAGAACGTAAGGTCCTAAACATTAAGCCTCCAGCCATGGGCATACAGGTTCTTGGGAAAACCAGAAAAGGAAATGGGTCTCATAACACAGCTCAGGCTGTCCTTGAGTTTACTTTGTAGCCCAAGCTAGTCTTGAACTCAACAATTCTCCTGCCTCAGCCTCGCAAGTACTGGGATTACAGCTGTGTGCCACCATGCCTGGTGTAATAGGGGTCACCAGGCTTAGCTGGACCAGCTTTGCTTGAATAATTACACATCTGCATGGCTTGCTTTGGTCCAGATTTTGCAGACCTTTTGAAGGTATGTGGAGTCACTATGGCTGTGATGCATAGTGAGAGAAGTTTTCAGGGAAAGAATTAAGAATTGAAGATAAACAAGCCAGGCTGTGCCCATCTACCAAACAGGTTGAGGCAAGATGACTTGAGCTCCAGTTCAAATAATGCAGGAAGACTGAACTTCCTCTCGAAGGAACTCACGATTGAGGAGACAGAGGTAACCCTTGTCCTGATAGCTTCAAGGACTATGGCATCAGTGGGCACACAGTTTATCCTTACAAAGGCAATCAGATGGATGTTCACCGAAGAGAAGGTTAAAGATGCCAATTTTAATCAATTTGTGTGAACTATCCAAAAGAAGAAAAAAAAAAAAAAAAAACCCCACAAGCAAAACTTTGAAAGAGAAACAGGCACAGGAAGAAAGTCTCCCCGGGCTACACATCAAGATATTATCCATCTCAACCTTCTTCTGGTTGTCACACTTTTACTTACTGAAGATTTATTGAGAATTTACTTTGTCTCTATTTCTATGATCCTCCTGCCCAGTCCTCTTTCTCCGATCCTGTGCTTCCTACCGTCATTCCCTGTCCCAGCGCTCACGTCCCTACTCACTCAGTACACACGCAGCTACTGATCCTTGTCTTTTCACACCAGGGACTGCGACTTGGAGAAGTTTGCAGGGACAAGTGAAACATAATGCCACATTGCTGAAATGAACACAGACCAGCACATGCACAACTCATGGCAAGGCACAAAGAGTGCAAACCAACTACAGAGCTCAGGCAGGGGGAGTGGGTCAGAGGCTGGCAGGTCAGACAGATACTCAGAATTTAGAGGCGACCTGAATATTGCTCAGCTAGATCATCAGTAGTCAAGGCTGTCACGGGCCATTCTCTACAGTGACACAGTGGACATGGTCTCTCTCAGTGGGACCACAGAGACAGAAACTGCAGAACTATGTGTTCACAGAATGATAAGCAGTGAGACGAGGGAGCAGCACATATGTAATATAATGTTTGATGATTGTGTTAAGGTACAACTGTAGGGGCCGGAGAGATGGCTCAGTGGAATAAGCACTTCCCTGGCAAGCGCAAGGGCCTGAGTTCAATCCCCGGTTCCACAATAAAAAAAAAAAAAAAAAAAGGTACAAGGTACAGCTGTGTATTTGAATTCAAAGCAAAAGTATTTTTACTTTGGCAGTTTCTAAGGACTCACTAAAGTTTTTGAATAGAGAAGATGTTTGGAATTACAGACCTATTGGACATGTAAATGACGACATAAAATGACAAAGGGAGCTTGAGAGATTAGCTAGAAGTTATTTACAGGGATAGATTTTGAAGGTCTAAATTAGTAAGCACCAAGTGAAATCACCAGGCATGCTGGCCACACCTTTAATCTTTGCTGCCTGGGAGGCCCAGCTGGGAGACAGCAAGCTTGAGGCCAGTCTGGTCAACTTAGTAAGACTTGCCTCAACATATAAAGACAAAAATGAATAGAGATGTAGCTCAGTGGTAGAGCATTATGGAAGCAAGAAAATAAAGAGTGAAATAAGAATGAAATGGATTTGAAACATATCAAAAATGCTGGGGTGGGGAGATAGCTCAGGGGGCTGGGGGGATAGCTCAGTAGAATAAGCACTTGCCTGGCAAGCACAGGTCCTGAGTTCAATCCCCAGTACCGCTAAATAAATAAATAAATAAATGTAATAATAATCTTGAGACGGGGCGTGGTGGTGGCACACCTGTAATCCCAGCATTTGTGAGGCTTTAAACAGGCGAATCACTACAAGTCTGATCTAGTAGTAAAACCCTGAGCATCCTGTAGACCCATCCCTAAAAAAAAAATGCAGAACTCCCAGGATTTAGCTCCAGATTAGAACAAGACACAAGAAATGTACACTATAATGGACAGTCTGCTGGAATCCAATACAGTGAAGCATTGAGTGTAAAAATTAGGAAGCCTCAGAGAAGATCACACAGAGGATGCTGCTTTGACTTGGGCCTTAAAGACTGAGTAAGAGTGTATCAGGCAGACAGGGACAAAGTCATATTCTTAGCAGACAAAATGAACGTATATACAAATATATATGTACGTTTGTATATATACATAAAAGGGGGGTTGGGTGTTAGGAGAAAATATTATATCTGAGCATATAGCAGAAAGGAATTGAGGGGGCTGGGGAAATGGCTCAGTAGCATAAGCGCTTCCCTAGCAAGTACAAGGGTCTGAGTTCAATCCCTGGTTCTGAAAAAAAAGAAAAAAGAAAGGAATTGAAAAGAGGCAAAAATATGAGCTAGAGGGCTGGTGAGATGACTCAGTGGTCTAAAGCACCTACTTAGAACAAGCTTAGCAAAGCACAGGGACC